AAAATTAAGGAAATTTCAAAAAAAAAATGTACTTTGGGCGGCGATAGATTGCAGTTGGCAAGAGAATGTGGTTAGTCCGAATAGTTTGCCGAGATCCATGGAAATAAAAAACGAATACGGGAAAGTCTGGGCCATTCTGTAGCACATCTAGTTGCTCTTTGCGACCTCGCGTATGCGTGTGTTCCGAGAAAGATATCTCATAGGGGGCAGTGTTTCACCGCCGACATCTATTAAAACTCGGAAGAACAATGCGTGGCCGTGGGTTAAGAAATCGAGACGTTTGGTTTTAAAAAACGAGTGTTGATTATAGCAGCTCCGAGGTATACGTCACAATTGTGTAGGTCTTTTAAGATACATATCGACACAGAACAATAAAGGATCATATCAGTTTCGTTATTTTTTCTCTTCAATTTCCGTGGCATCAGCCAAATTTCTGTTAGACCGTAGCTGCATATGCCCCGCCAGCTTCGGTGCGGACCTACTACAGTTGGCTTTACACCGGCCTCTCCTTCCGTCTTAATCACAGGCATATAGCAGAGGTATGGTTTCTTTTATGAAGATTCCAACCGACATAGGTCATTAATACGCTCTGGCTAGGAGTGTACCATGCCTTTGTGAATTCGGCTAAATCGAAATCTAGCAATCAGGAATTAAAAAAAAATAAAAAAAAACAAACTTGCTTATATGTTTCATTTAGAATGTCCTCCGACCATTGAAGAAATAAAATTCGCAAATTAGTGCAAATGTGACTTGACCAGAAATGTTTTAAGTATATGTAACAGAGTATTAAAGGGTTAAAACTTTTTTTTCTTCTTCCTTACGCATTCCGTTCCGAGATAACAGGCTTCTGTGTCCTTTTCCCGGAGTCAACGGATGGATTCTAGACTGCCCGATCTTAGACAATGTCTTACCTTCTTCAGTCCGCAAATCGCATTTCGCTTTGGATATCACATAATGACCGAATCGTTGGCCCCATGCCTAGATCGCTACGTCTCCCAGATAACGAATAATCCACACCTTCCTCTTCTCCAGGAAAAAAAAACAAACTACATCGTAAATAACACGATGTGTTTGATACAATGAGGAATGAGGTGCAGTTTTAAATTGACATTACATAACCCTAATCCTCCAGGAGAAGAAAGGGGATGTAAAGCTGAAGGTCAAGGAGTCCGCTTGAGTACTTCAAGGACCTCTTAACGTCAGGCCAACAATTATTATAGAAGGTGCGGCCATGTTACACGAACTCCACTACAACTTGCAAAATGCATTCTGAAATTCTCGTTCGCGCTATCGACTTTTGTTTTAGAACTATAGTGCGGCTTTTATAACTCTGCTCCTAAAGGCCCTACTTCGTGGTGGCATTATATCACTGTATTTCTCGTCATTCTCGGTTATGCCGTTAGTAGTTGCATGATCGCGACCGTATCTAGCATTGCTATACAGTCGAGTTCATGCCACATCTAGCGGTACGACTGAGAAAGACACGAAAAACAGTGACTTAATGCCATTGTGAAGAAGGGCCTTGAGGGGTAGAGTTTCACAAACTACAGTCTTTATGCAGTCTACGCTGAGTTATAAAGTCACACTCGTTGAAATTCCATACCCTCGGTTCGACTTAGGTCAGAGGTTGGGTAAGCTAGAGAAGAGATATGGTGCCACCCTTCGGTATTACTGACTTCCAGCTGCAGACAGCTACAGGCTAGTGTTAGCAGGACGATGACAACAAATAATTACCGAGTGCTGGAACGTTTCGGATACACAACAGACTAAAGAAGGGGACATGCAAAAATCTAATATTTGACTTAGACCTTACATTAATTCTAAAACATTTACATTGCCAAAAATTAAATCGAGTGGTGATACCTGGCCCAAACTGTCTCGAATTACCTGTAATAGTTATGTAAAATAATAATTATATTGAAAACTATGTTCTATTATTTCAGCTTATCGTGTGAAAATCTCTCATCAAATGCATTGAATACAGCTCACTTTTTTCTGTTATCTGGCATCTTCTAAACCCATTTTATAATTAAAACTATCCTTTAATTACATACATTGCCAACAATGAGTTTCATAACGTTTAAAAATTTATCATAATGACATTTTACCACATTCATTGCCATTTCAACAATTTGCTTCTACCATGTACTCATTACTAATAAATTTCTCAAAATTAGCTAACTGTACAACAAATTTTGTATACAAAAAATACTGATCGTACCAATGTAGATTTAATTTTCTTTCGTGTAATGTTTATTATGGAATTGTGTTTTATAAAGTTTTTTTTCACATTATATATTTTTGTCCCCTAATAGCTTACTTAACATCCCATAGCTTAATTAACATTAATCTTTGGGAACATAAATGGGCTCGCTATAAGAAACAAAATATTTTTCACGAAAGTATTTACGAGAACATACAAAAATATCTACATTTCTAAATTCGAATACGCACAAAGATTGAAAGAAAGTAGAGAAGCCTGTGACCATACGAAAGGTATCGACGGTTTCGTTAGATACCAAGGAACTCAAAGAAAGTACAAAAATCATGAAACAGCTTCGATTTTGTCTGAAAAATGCAAATATTTGATTGTGATATTCCACCTATTCTCATACTGCGCGTACCGACTGAATTCGCATTCTCAGTGAGCTATGGCTTAAAACACAGCTGGCATGCGAATGCGAGGCTTCAAGGAAGAGGCCGTCCGCGCTCCCCTATGAATATTTATTTACTTGTTGCGTTAAGGAATAACTTATATGATAATCTGTAATACTAATTTCCTATGCACACAAAAATTGATAAAAAAGCCGTGCACCCTCCAGCCATGTAAGAGGTGTCTGGTTTTGTTAGATACCCAGGAACTCCAGAAAAATACAAAAACCATGAAACTGCTTCAATTTTGTCTAAAAATTGCACATATTTGATAGTGTTATTTCACCTATTTTCATACTGTGTACACCGACTGAATTCTTAGTCAGTGCGTCACTGCTCACAATACAGCTGACATCTACGACAGCAATCCTCCAAGGAAGAAACTGTCTGCCCTTAAATGTATTCAATTCACATGTTGAATTATGGAACAGCAACTGTTTTATCTTCTTGGTACTATGTAAAGTGACCTGTGGTCTATTGGTTAAAATAATTTATTGATTTGTTATAACATTTGTAAATAACATATATTTGTATAACAACTACTCGTAAATATACTTGAGCAGTGTGCGTGCTACTTTTTGGAAAACCATTTTGTGGGGTTTTCTTCAGCATCTTTTTTTTTTTTTTTTGCTAAAGCCACTAGTATGTCCATCAATGAAATAAATTATGATATATACCTGCAATGTAAAACTTGAATGGTATCCAGGAACCTTCCCAAATACATGTCAGTTAATAAAGGGAGACGTAGCAGAATCATGTGGATGGTATTTTCTTATTTTTCATTACCGTTATTTTCTGGAAAATTATTGTACAGCTTAGATTACTGAAAATAACTGTATGAATAATATACACATTGCATCTACAGAATCCTGTAATTATTTTATTGAGCTCTCCTTCCATAATTGCTTCAAATTCATCCAACCTTCTTGCAACTCATTGTGTGTATCTTTGAATGTTCAATTTTGCTTGAAAATTCTGTATAAAGGCTGGCTGAATTTGAAAGAATTATGGATGCATAGATCAATGAATACAATATTGTGTTCAATTCAGGTAAATGGAGCATCATTTACCTAAAATGAGCAATCCAAAAATGTTGTTAATGTCCAATGTCTTCAGGATTTACAAACTACCTAATGAAGTGACATTCAGCTTGTAAGCTAATTGCATATGGTTCATTCTGAATAGAATAAGCATTGTTGATTAGAAATGGAAAACTGCCTTAAAACAGTAACAGTAAACCATTTACTTTTCACTATCTATTTTGGAACCAATACAAAACATCTGCTCTTATCTACTTATTGATTCTTTTATGCAAAGAATATATGTATCTTCAGTAAAGAGAACTGATCTCCTATTTGCAATCGACAAGGGCATAAATTCATACAGAAACAAGAGTATAGAGACTAAAATCAAATCTTCCGGCAATACATTGGAAAGATGAATAATGTTCATTTATTCATTCCAATGTGGTATTTTTACTATCTGAAATCATTTTTAAGATATCATGAAGTTCCAATATTGAAGAATCAATTGTGTTTAGAGCGAAATCCGCTAGCTTCAAAGTGTATGAGAAGTTTGAAAAACAATTTCTGAAATCCAGAGATTTGAATGAAAATCAGGCTTTTGCTACATTTATAATACTTTGACTCCTAGTTGAGGAAAAATGTTATGGAATATACGGGCATTTGCATTCATCATGTGAAGTATCCCAAAAGTTAAAAGATTCTTTTCAAATTTACAGGGTCTTGAGTCAGATTGATCAGAAAATCAGTGCTGGAGAAAATTATGTGTATGGTTTAGGTGCTAATATTGTTCACAGATGGAGAAACAGACATAAAAAAGGTTGTTTCAGGCACACCCATTATCTGTATTTCTGTCACAAGTTGCAGAATTTTCTGATACACAGGACCAAATGTTCAAGCTACCACATCATTCTTGAAAATCCCTTCCAAAAATTCTCCCTTAAAACTGAAAACTTCTCTCCCACTCCCCCATCCTTACTCCACATATACACTGAACAAAACAAATTCCATCTCTTGTACAATTCCACATCATTAACATAATAGTATCACGAGAAGACATTAAATACAATGATATTATAAACAAAACTGGTAATATCATCTAATGTGAGAATTGCCAATAAAGAAAAGCAGTCCATTTACACCCACATTCGATGAAAAACCCTATCCAGAATTCTACAAAAATGTTCAGCTCATTTCTGAAAGCACTCTCAAGTTTTATTTAGTGAACTTTCATACGGCAAAGCTAACTTTTAAATTATGTACTAAAAATGTTTTTATAATGTTTCCAAAGTAATTATTTAATATATTTCATTATTTTATCAACAGACATTAAATGGCATTGAAGCATATAAATATATGCCTCCAATGAATGTGTTTGGAACACCAGAGCAGAACCCAGAAAATGAGTGCTTCTGCCCTCCATCTGAAAATCCTGAAGAACCTTCATGTCCATATGGAGGTGTATTCAGTGTGGGACCTTGCAATTTTGGTAAGATTATTTTCTCTAAAGAAGAAGAAAATTAAATAACTTGAAATCAAATCAACAGTCAAATTATTTCAGGATCTCATCACTAGGACAATAGAAATATTGACCATGCTTCACAAATTCTTTATTCCTACTCACGGGCAGAAAAAGAAAGAAGGCACAACTTTTGGCTGCACTTCCTGAAGAGGTCTTGCCTACTGAGGAGGACCAATTAGTTTAAGGAGGAGGGAAGGGAGGCTCAGTTATATTCATAGGCCCAGACCCCAGATAGATCCCCTTCATACATTTGGATCAATTGGATATTCATGTTTTTCTCTACTGATTTACTGAAAAACTAGATAAAGATCTTCCTTTTTATTACAGTTCAGTTACAAAATACAAATAATAATAATTATACTAATTATAATTATTATTATTATTATTATTATTATTATTATTATTATTATTATTATTATTATTATTATTATTGAACAACATTTTATCATAAACACTCTTTAGTGATCAGTATAATTACTCCATCCATTCACAAATGCACACCCTTATTCATACATGCATGCCTTCACCCACTTAATCACTCGTTCTCTCATGAAAGCACTTTACAAGTTAATAAGAAAATAATGTAATGTATTTTTGAATGAAATGTTGAATACTCGACAATCACATTATCTTTTCTTTCCAGGAGCACCAGTTCTTGTATCTTTTCCTCACTTTTATGGAGGTGATGAAGAATTATACCGTTTTGTAAATGGGCTAAATCCTGATCCTTCGAAACATTCTATGTACCTCTATATTCACCCAGTAAGGATTATTAAATTTAATATATTATTGTAAAACTTATTTAACACTTAACATTGAATGCTTCATAATAAAATATTAATTTGCATTTTAGATTATCGGTGTGCCCATGGGTGGAAAAACTCGTTTCCAAATGAATGTCAAAGTTCGAAAATCATCAAAGATTTCATCTATTAACTTCCTGGAAGAAGGAGCCGTTCTGCCTGTTGCTTGGATAGAAATTGTAAGTGTTTGAGAAACAATCGATGGAAAAAAAGCTTCTTGTACTAAGCACTTTTAAAATAAATGAGATCACAGACTCACTGAAAACTCTCATACAACTTGTGAGCATTATCTTCTCCTCTCTTAAATCTCAAACAATGAACCAACACCAATTGTAAATATTATGTACTCTCCATTTTGGAGATGTATATCTATTCAGAAATGTTTAATAAATACTAATTTTGTTTTGTATTTTGTTTTTACAGGGTGTGGATGAACTACCAGAAGAAGTTATCGCTTTGCTGCACAAAGCTTCCATGACAAAGCATGTCAAATCGGTCCTTTTGTATGGAAGTATCACAGTCATTTCTGTAACTTCAATTATTTTACTGTGGTGCGCTTACAGATGTTGGACAAGGAGAGAGACAATTCGTAATATTTCACAAGATTCTCACATTTTGGAACCACTGTAACTACGCTTCATAAACAATTATTTTTATTATTGCACCATCACATCAACAATTGTTTGCACTAAAAATAGCAGGGTAGCATAGAGTGAACATGAAAAGAAACTCAGGTCGGCATTGTCAAGAATGAAAAATTAAAAGACTGAGTATGTGCTATTGTGTGACAATGCTGGAAAAATAGTGATAAACCAGTATATTGATTTAAGTGCATCAATCGATAGTTGTGGATGAACTTTGTGTTGATGTGGAAAACAAATGAACACAAATGTATGTATGTAAGACATTGAATGTTGTATATTACAACAGATGTTTGTCACATTCCATGTGCCTTCACAACATTCCAGTTTTTGGAGTGTTGACCAATTGATGGAGTGGCTAATGTTATAAGGAGATTGAAGTCTGAACATTTGCTCAAAACACAACAAATATCAATACTATTGATTCTTTTAAAACCAGCACCACTGAGAAGACTCTTTCAATAGGGAAAAAAAGATGATCTGCAAATGAAACCGATATTTTTCTAAATAATGAAATCCAATATTTTTTATGTTAGGATTTCGTATTAATACAATTTATATTTCCTGGAAAGACTTATAATATTCAGTGAAAAAATTTTTCTATGAAAAAAAATTACATTCATATAGTTCTGGTGCTTAAAAACACTTTGGAGAAGAAAAGAAAAAGACAGTAAACATAACATTCATTATCACTTAAGATTAAAAATTAAAATGGGATTTCATTCATCACAAAGAATACGTTTACAAAAAACATTAACTTTATTGCCATTTTTGGCAGTCCAATATTTTGCAATAGTTGAATACTAAAAAGAAAATAACTGATTTTCTGTCATGCCATTTTTTGTTTTCAATTTTACAGTTGATGGATACTAAAAAGGAAATAACTGATCCGCAGTCAATTGATAATGTATTTCTAGTGGAGTTCAAACCACTTCTCTTATCATAGGTCTATGTATTTCTAAGTTTCCTTGTGATTTGTATCTCATAGTTCTCACATTTCTAAGGACTAAATATCATTTATTGTTAATTGTTTAAAAAGTGTAATCATAAAAATGTCCATGAATTTATAGATCAAAAGACTATGAAAATAGAAAGGTCTTTAGATGTGGTAGTAGTATGTAAGCATTTTCAGATTTAAAAAGAAATTTCATCAAAACCATCTTTCATGACAATAAATAAATTCCAAGTTGCTACTCATTTTATTGATATAGTGATATTGGAATGTTACTAAAGCTTCTAATTACTCGTGCTTATGTTAAGAATTTTTTTACTACTATTTGAAGTAAAATAAAATGTAGTGAATGTATGTTGGTACATTTTCATTTTAATGATTTAATGTTTATATCCTCATACACACTTCCCCTCCTGAACAAATTTATGCATAAAAACTTCTTTTGAATATCAACACGATTCCAGGAAAAAAAACCCATCTTAAATAAGAGTGAGAAGGGAGAAAGTTGAATGTACATTAGGGTGACTTTGAGACAAACTATTATCTCATTTCAGATTATCCATTATTCGCTATAAATAAAACAGAGGGGTCACACAAAATCCAACCACCACAATGAGGCTCTATGTAACCATTGTGAAACTCAAATCTCCCATAATTATCCCACCTTTTTCTACCTATCACATTATCATCTATCCTCTTGTTTTAAGGCTTCTTGTAAACTTTGCAAAACTTTGAATACAATACTGAGTGATTGTAACTGTTAGTCTTGAAATAAGTTTGGTTTGGCGAGAACATTTATTTGGTGTAGATCTAGATGATAATTGATGTAATTAAATCAGTTTGTTAATACTGGTAGTTTTATTACTGAATTGTTTAATATTTGTGGAGTTTCTTAATGACAGTATTTTATATACATTATAGCCATACCAGTAAAAGACAAATAGGATGGGGTGATAGGATTAACCATTGATGACTTGGCTAGTGTAAACCATTATGTAGCTTCAATTATTAGAACCAAAATGAAAAGAGACTCCTGAGGTAAAAATTAGACACAAATCCAGTGAAAGTGAAGAAGAACTTAATGACAAGAGTATTTTTTGCTGAAAGGGAAGATAGCAATTTCATATCAGAAAATATTTTGAAATTGATGATCCTCATGAAATAGAGGAAAACGTTCTTTGTCCTACAAAATAGCTTAATGGCCAAAGTAGTTCTGACTTCGAAGTTCAATCAAATATAAGAGAGAAAAATATCTATGTCAGATTGTTGAGTTTTCTGATCAGATGTAAGAAGGTTAATACCAGGATTAAAAATGGTAAATATAGGAAGTGACCAGAGTACTGATTTTAATCTGACTTGTTATTAAGTAAGATAAACTAATAAATACAGACAAATTTATGTTGTAGACATTAAAAAACAATTCCCTACATATTTACATTTGTAATAAAAGCAAACCATTTACAGCTTTCCGTTTGTTCTAAATTATTGCCAATGGAATGAGCTGAAGACATGTGATCCAAAGGAAAAATTCATTTCAAGATAGAGTAGCTACCCCAGTCATCCAAACAGAATGGAGGTCTTGAGTAAGTCTTTGCCTTCACTTTTCTTCATTATTAAAAGCAACTAAACATTTTTTTAAAAGTCTTCTTTCTGGTGATGTAACTTTTTTGAAAACAATATTAGATAATAAGAGAGATAATACAAATAATATTAAAAATGTGTACCCTAGTAAACAGTATGTAATAATTCAATTTTGTTTTGTGGCCACACATATTGTCACTGTCGGATCCCGGGAGGGGGGGACGCCTCTCACCCCAAGGCCAAGGGTTCTTTCTTTGTCACCTTCTTTTATTTCAAAAAATTTATTTAAATATTTTTTAGAATTACGTAATTATTTAAATAAATAATATTATATAGAATGATATATACACTACAGAAATAATATACAGTTTATTAACAAATGTTTATATAACAAAAATTTATCATGGCCCCATCCAAAATGACCACCTGGATACACACTTGCATACAGTGAACAGAAAAAGCAGAACAACCCAATAATAATAACAATAATAGTATAATGAAAACTTAAAAGCTATAATAGACTACTTGTTATTTATACTCTACAAAGAACGTCTGCAAGAAAAATATATATTTCACCAATCAGGATTAATTTTCCAACATTTTTAAAGAAAATATTCATATTGCAATCTTATAAAAGATGTGATGTGTTCTAAAATATAAATGGTTCTTGTTAATATTTAATGATGGTTGTATAATGATTAGTCGTTTAAATGTCATAAAAAAATTGCAATTTAAAATTAATTATATGTCTAGTAATTAAGGAACAAATCAGTAGATATACATTTTCAAAATACTTTTTGAAGATAAAAAAAAAAAAGAAGAAGAAATTTAAAAGTGTTGTAAGTTTTGCAACTGTAACTCCAACAAACTATGAGGTACCCATTTACAGGCATTAAATCTTATTTGAACAAAGAATATTTTAAAAAATCTTTCTTCTCATCTCTCTTAAAAATTATCTCTTCTTTTTTGCAGTGTTTCAGTTAGTCTGTCATTCAGTTCGATGCAAGGAAAATAATACTATTTCTCTATTTTCTTATAGAGTATCAGAATAATTATCTCTCCAAATCTTCCACTTGTGTAGCACAAGTGTAGTTAAAAAAATAAGATATTTTTGAGCATTATTTGTATGATATTTGATTGCATGGTAACACTAAATATTAATGTTGACTCAGATGGAAATTTATGTTATTTATTTTTGGAGGTATAGTGCAAATTGTTTATTTACAACAAATATTATATAACACAATTTAAAAAAGGAATTCCCCCATACACAAGGTGCTTTCACACCAGCTATGATTTCAAAATGCCTGTAGTTGTATAATGGCTCCAACTTTTTACTTCTTTATTTAGCCAAACAGAAAATTTAGCTGAATACGTATGGCTAAAAAATTTACTAAATTCATTGCATTTTAAGAATGAGGGAAATAATGCTTTTATAATAATGAGAGTTTCCTTATTATTTCAATGAACAAACTATCATTTATTAACCTCTAATTATTACACATTTGAAAAATATTGCAGATTCATAGTATGCTTAATTTACAAGTTAATCATTCACAATCCAACTTGGCCACACACAAAATAGGTTTAAAAAATATATTTTCTATTAGTTTCAAACAGAAAACCCTTTTAAATATTAGCTTACAAGAAAATGTAAAGATCCACTTCTATTTTTTTTTCACAGTAATTAGCATTTGTAATTGTAAAAATGATTTTCATGATTGTTACATTTCATTACTTGGCCAGCTGTACAACGATACATTCTTGTATATTTTATATTAATCTCTTCCTCATATTGTAGTAAATTTGAATAATTTACCATCTACATTTAGTTTAAATATATTCTGTAACAAGTTTCATAAAAAATCTTACACGATAAAGAAAAGGTTGAACTAAGAAGTACTACAGGAAAAAGAAAATGTCCATTTGTCACATCAATCCTAATTTGTAAATAAATACTTTTGTGAAAAAGACACATTTTCACAGCCAATGCAAAATTCCAATAAAATTTAAATAACAAATGTAAAAGATTCTTCAAATTTATGCTCTAAAATATAAATAAATTTTATTATCTTTTTAAGTCTTTCGGCAAGAAATGAAATAATATTCTTTTTTTGAAACTAGTTTTAATAATTGCTTTAAATAAGATGCTAAATTTTGCAAGAGTAATACTATTCACTTCTAATTTATCGATAAAGTGATTACAAAGCACATCAAATGACTTTCAAGGTTAATCAGCCTTATGATATTGGACAAAAGGAAATCACCATTGATGGATTTTTTTAAAAATTTCATGTAGGCACTATTTCTTCAGCAATTACATATAATGAATTCCATCAAAAACTTGTAAGTCATGGGCTATTACTAATTTACTTGCAGAAACTTTAAGCAGGACAATAAACAAATTTCAAAAATTGAAATAAAGAAAAAATATGTTGCAGAAAATATAAACATTATTGTAAAATATTTATATATTAGTTTTAAATTATGATAAAGAAATTAAAATTTCAGTATAAATTGTATTATGTAATAATTCTATAGACAATTTATAACAACAATTTTACATTACATTTTCTTGGGCATTTGAGCTATATATTATTTACATTGAGCAAATTCTTTGGAATCAGTCCACATCATACTAATAATGCAGAGGTTTCTTAAATTATATTAATAAATAGAATAACAATAATATCCCATTCATACGCAAAAACAAGAAAGAGCACGTGATATTTTCCAGCTGAGATACGTGCGTTGTTGCTTCATTTAGGATTATTAAGCATAAAAATGTTCAATTTTCACTAGTATTAAATAATTAGCAAAATTGAATAAACAAATCAACCATATGAGGTATTTGAAATTGCTACTCTCTCTCTCAGCTTTCTTCACTTGTTTAAGAAAATGAAGGACTAGAAAAAGGAAAACTAGTAAGGCTGACTGAATGCTGCATGGATCATATTGGAAGCTGCTTTTCAAGTAATTGCCGTCACCATTAATTTGCAATACAAAAAATGATTTGAATTCACTCATTTCATTTTTATTTCATTCAACATGTGAAGTAGTTGTATAAAAAGTAGGAATGATAATGGTACAGTAATGTTGAATCAAATAGAAAGATGCATATCTAAGTTCTTCAATAAAACAAATATCGCAGATGTACACACTAAAAAATTATTATTTAATTATCTTCACGATATTTCAGTGACTCTTTATATAATATTCTGGAATGAAATGGAGACGATTCCCTAAAGTCTTGGAATAGTCCTTTAGGTAAGGAGAGGGTAGATGAGGCAGCCATCATTCTAAAATATTAAATCCATACAGGAGGTACTTTTTACCTTCTGCCACCTTAACATTAATGCATCAATAAATGCAAAAGGTAATGTATAAATATCCTACCATCATGGTAATGGTAAACATCACCATGATTTAGATACCGTAATGATGATTTTAATCCACTCCTGTAGCAGTTTTTCGTAATTAAAACCCATGTTTAAAGACATGATCTTAGCTATGCCTCTGTTTCCACAAACCTTGAACTTTTCTATCTTTGGCAGATCAACATTAAAATAATATAAATCATGCCATCATGAAGTTAATGAATATTTAATTTAATTTTGAAACATAACTGCTATATTTTTCTTATTTATGAACTCGATGATGAAGAGCAAGAACTGGATGTAGTTAAATCCAAGAATTTATACGAGTTATTTTTTCTTTTTTCTGATGCACACATAGCTGAAGTAAGACCAGCAATGAGCATTCCAATTCCAGATGTCACCATTATAAAACTTATCCAGCTCTGAAGATCTGGTAGAATATTTACAACAAAATATAAGAAATAGTAAATATACCAAGGCAGATCCTTCTGATACTGCAACAAAACAGCGAAAAGGGAAGAAATAAAATTTTAACAAATAAAAAAATTGAAAACAAACCCAAAACAGTTAATAAAAAATGCAAATACATAGAAATGTTAGATGTAAAACACACAAGTGTATAAAAAAATGCAAAAATGATGTAAGTCAATAGCAAATAAAATATAACATAAATAAAAAGCAGCATAATTTATAAAAGAATAATACATAATAAAAATTATTTTGCATAGTGAAAAATATCTTTTTCCATCAGTAAAAAAATTATTCACATTAAAGTAAATGTAGATATGAAAATAATAAATCATAAAGTAGGAAAGAATATTAAGAACAATGCCTCAAGACATAACAAATTTTAGGAACAAAAAAGAAAAAACAAATAATGTAATACATTGAATTCAAGATGAAAGGAAACAGATTTTAAATATTTTTGTGTAACATAAGAAAAATAAGAATCAACACGTATGAAAAATGAAAGAATTACTCACATATTCGGCCCAAAACATTGGAATTGAAATATTACTAAATCTTTCCAACTTTTTAGAAATTCCCGAGAGCTTTCTGACTACTAAATTTGATTGAATTCGGGCGCAGCTCTCCATCGGAAGACCTGTAATCTACAAACCAGAAATAAGTTAAAACAATATTCTCACGTACAGCTAAAACATTATTGTTTACAATAAAGAAAATAATGTCAATAGAAGTAGGAAGTAATTTCAGAGAATTAAAAAGAGTCAATGTTCAAATTTTTGGTGACCCAATGTCTTACCGGTTCCACAACAATGTAGGATCCATGTTTATCTCTTTGGGGGTTCATACCTCGTACTGAATCTATTAACACTGGATCTCCATTCATAAAATGAGGTGCCGAAGCAGCTATAGGAAAATCTAGAACACATAGATAGAATGAGAGAATCTCTGGCTAGATAACGTCTATTGAAATCACCCATCATGTCACAGAATAGCACTAGCATATAAATGACGCAGTGGGAAGAATAAGTAATTCCGGCAATACCTAAGCTATGTAAATTCCACATGGTCTTTCAGAAAAGAGTGTACAAACGGAGAGGTTGAGAGAGGTAAAGGGAAGCAGCTTTCGAAAGTGAACTCTGGGGCAAAGAGGTTTGGCGCTAGTCGGTATCACGGTATTAGGTATTTCTAACACCGTGTCTGCATAAAATATTTGTGTCCCTACCAGACCCTAGGACGCCCACATACAACACACTCACGTCATAGAGTTGGCCACTATACACGCCGAGTGAGAAGGTATCACGTATGCACAAGGGGGAAAATTGCCCTTTGCATATTTGTTAAAAATAAAATGATTTCAATTGATAGGTAAGTAGCCTTTGTTCTTATTCCTTGTCGTACCCTCGTGAAGGAATCGATGCACTTCAGCGAGAACATGGCGAATGACAACATGGAGAGGAATGGCGTCACTTTGTAACCTAACGATAGAAGACTCAGTTGATTATTCAATACGAATTCAATACGACTTATAAGCATTGCTTCTAAATTTGTAAGTTTAGAAAATTCGGAGAGTTCAACGAAAATAAGACCTACGCTTTTTTTAAGCGTCCCTTGTTCTATTTTTGAAAAGAAATAAAAACATTTGGAGAGATATTTGAGAATTAAACAAAAATGATTAATCTTCAAACACACATTACGTGAAAACTACTCGTTATTTAAACAAAATAGTACATGGCCTTTTTAAAGTTTTGTTTTTTAGAACAGAATTTATTGAAGACAAAAATCTTCACATTCAATATTGTACTTTTGCATGGGTAACTTTTTGCCACTTTCGAAAGTACTGAGTTCGCAAAAAATAGGACTAGCCCCAATTTTTATGGTTTCCATTGATACATACGAGGAGAAAATTTAAAAAAAACATTTGGAGCCGTTTCTAAGAAAAAAGTTTAAACACTGTCTAAATTTCACGTAAAATTACGCGATAACTACTATTTTAGAAAAGTTGTACATGGCCTTGATTCTAGATCTGTCTTTAAAGAATTGATTTTATTGAGGAAAAAATCCTTTACTTCAATATTGTAATTGTAATAAGCTGCCGAAAACAATTTTGAAATTTTGCAATTTTCGAAAATAGACCAGCACAATTCTTCGAAAATATTTCGAAGAGACCTGCACCATCTTATTTCTACCCGTTTCAAAATCAACTTCGGAGAAAATCGGCTGAGCGCTTTAGTCGCTAGCTTTCATCGTGGACGATCGTGGGGAAATGTTTTGCCGTCAAACGATTTTTCTGTATCAAGGACTCACAAAACATGAAAACTGCAAAACTCAAAAAACTCAAAAAACTCAAAAAACTGCAAAACGTGTTAGAGGAAGTTTATTTATAATAAATGTATATCATTTTACTACATATAGAATCAAGATTTATCTACTTTTCTTTACCAAGGCGCGGCAATAAGAGTTTTTCTGCATAAAAATTCACCCTTTTTCGCGAATTACAATACTTTATCTTCTTACGAAGTATGGTAGAGAAAGTCAGAACTGAATATGAATTTAAGAAAATAATTTAACATCGAGGCAATTCTATTTTAAAGCATTGATTAATGATCCCCGAACTACAGATTGATTAGTGACTACCAAGGTCATTAGTCCCGTAATTGTAGTGAATGTTTTATCGCGTTATGTAGTAGTGGTCTTCCCCCATAAATTCTCGGCTATCCGGGGCACGCACTGTGTGTCACTGCCCTGAGGAAGCCTGCGACATGTCAGGCGAAACGTCGGCACCCCTGCCAACGACGCGGCGTCTCCCGGATAGACGAGAATTTACGGATTCGAGCCGCGGAAGCTTACGTGTAGAGTGGTCTTCCCCCGCCAGATGGCGATATCCGGCTCCGATATACGTCGGCTTGCGGGGATTCTCAACCAGGTATCTCCTACCAGCGAGGCACCACCCCAGCCGGGTCAAGCTCTAAGGCCAAGCTCAACTGATCTAACAGGTGTGGTAGTGTTTTGTATGGGTAAGTAAGGGTGAGAATAGGACAAGGATGAGGAAGGAAAAATCGCGCGGGGTCCGTTTTTAGGATACTGTTCCGGCATGCGCCTGGTGTTGATCGGAGAAACCTGCTGGTGTGTGTGTTCATATCACGAATACTCTACGCCCCTTTCAACTAGGAACCAAACTGGAAACTGATTTCTAAAGAACGTTTTCTCAAACTGCTTAAATTCTTGCTGCAAACGTTATCGCTGTTTAGGCGTACATATGTGTGTGGAAGTGCCTTTTCTGATATCACACAAATTAAATCAAAAAAACGAGAAATCGCATAAGAAAGTGTTTCACTGAAATCGAGCCTGAGGTTTTGCCTTACTGAAGTTACAGTGGACAGTGAGAAATTTATATTAGAAAAACAGTGTTTATCCTCACATTGATTTTTCGAGTGTGAAATAAAGTGATATATGAAACTAGCAAGTTATAAGTAATTTAATTTCTTTCTTTAATGTTCCTGGCTTACACTTTCCAATACTATAGTCTGATTCACCTCTGTGCACCAAAATGTTGGACAACACTGCCACTGCTGCCACCGGCCAGAATCCACGTCTTGTGGGTTCATATAAAAAAATTGGTTTACGATAAAACGTCTCTTCATCTGTCTGTCATCAGTCTTTGAACAACACTAGCGGTTAAATCGAACGCAGCATTGTTATCAAAAGTGACATTCTCCAATCGATCTTGATGTCGCGATCCCTTGAATTTGAAACTAATTTTGGGAATAATTTTACATAAATCCTCAAGGACATTTTCAATTGTTTCTAAAAAATGTCTTCAAATTTTTCGTTTATATTATGACTTCGAATAGCGTAAAGAATACTAAAACAAATAGCGCATGTCGAAAATTTGTTGAAATATCTTAATTTTCGAAAAATTACAAAAGGTCAATTTGTTCGGCGATTTCCTGCAACCAGATGTGAAGATAGAGATTTTTCTTCTGAATAACTGCAACTGAATAACTACACAACAGTAGGCGACACATAATTGTACACATGATATGTAACCATTGAAGTAATGACACTTTTCAATTTTCAGTTGCTTCTCTCTGTTATATTTCATTTTTTAAATACGTATCAGCAACTCTGCATCAGAATTTGAAGCCTCTTATTGGATATCGGAACCCCCTCTCGCATGTCAGCCGCTAGCTGTCAAGTCGTCAGAAATATTATTCGCACAATACACGTAATATGGTCAATACTGAATATAATAAGTTTGAGTTCTGCGTCTTTGTAGATTTCAACTTTGGCCTGGATATGACGCGAACTTATTCTTGAGGCTTTACTAAACACTCTGGTGACAGTTCTGTGAACGAGATTATTTGGTGTGAAAACATAAGCGAGAAGGAGGATATTGAAAAGGCTTCCCTTGTTGAAGGAGTAGCACTTTCTACTTACGCACTTTTGTTTGCGAACGTATACTAAATATTTAAAGCTTATTTGTGAGTTTTCTACGCACAATTAGTTGACTATTGAACTTGATTAAGTAATTTCGCAGCTAAGAAGTTGTGACGTCTAACACAGGTTGTAATGCCGAAACAACGAGGGAAATACAGTTAATAAGCTTCAAAATACCATTCAGTGTTTTTTAAAGTCTAGTAACTTCCAACCCCGTTCATGTCTCTACAAATATGTCCAATGCAGCCTAATAGTGAATAAAGAAAACAGTCACAGCAGTGCGGCTAAAAATTGGGTTGTTATCTGTGATGGCGCGCGGCGCCATTTTAACCGATTGCAGTGAAATACAAAAGTGGTAGTTAAATTGTGTGAAGCAATGCTTTTAAGGTAGAGATTTCAAGCTTTAATTTAATATAAATTAAAAGTATTTTGGATCAAAACTTACGGAGATACGTACATTTGAAAAGTGGCTACTTCTATGGTTTTAACGTAAAATTGGCCGTATTTGGACTAATTGGGCACACTGTTTGAGTGAAATAGCTAATGTTTGATGATCATAAGATTGTTGCGCGGTAACGTGGGCACCACCTCAGCTAAAACTCCGTTCATAAATATAACATTAAATATTATTTATTCGTTATTTTTAAAAAGTGGTTATAAAAGGCCGAAAATGGGGTGTTAATGGGGTTTGAGGCACCCCTAAACCCATTTTAAAAATGGTGTTATTGGTACCGATGTTGTTCTTGCATAGAAAACTAACTTTTTTCACTAATCTATTGGCTTCTATTTTTTTCCGATACATACACACACACACACACACACACACACACACACACACACACACACACACACACACATATATATATATATATATATATATATATATATATATATATCACATATAAGTAAATTTAAATGGAATTGGATTCTACACAAAAATAGAATAATAGCATTAAATGAAAACTGCACACTCTGCAGGTCAGAAATTTAGTGAGGTAAAATATTTAGAAGTTTTCTGTTATCGATTACTATTATATTGAGATAATGACAAGAAGACAAAATAACTTTTCTATTTCCAAGAATTTCACAGCTTCTTGTCAGAATGGAAATGTGTTTATACATTTTGCATTCATCAAAGTTGGTTCATCTAAAAATCAAAGTAATAAAGCATCTGTTGGCTCATTGCTTTTTCCTGTACAATTTCATACGTGAATAAGTACCGAAATGCCGTTCCAGTGCGTTCCCCTTGAAATGAAGCCTTGTAAATAAGTTCAGAAAATGTATTTCTGGCAATACGTGGACATCGATTTCGTGCTGTCATTATATAACTTACTATATTAATATATTTAATTAACTAAACTAGTATCTTCTGTACATGCTGCGTGTACCAGGAAGTAAAGGTATGTTTGGAGGTATTTCACGCTAACTTTCATTGAACCAGGAATAAGAGTAACTAGAAATAAAAAAAATAAAAAAAATGTTTGAATTTCGCTTACTTAAAGGATCATAAACTTACTAAAAAAGCACGGTGAGCAATCAGACAAACCAGACACAAGGGGCGCTGATGGATCACCGGCAAAACAGTCGGTGCTCGGGTCTTCGAAGCGGTCAAAGAAATTGTCAGGAAGCTCAAAGCGATAAGCATCTACGCCATCCCTCAGCACGTCACCTGAAAAAAATGCAAATAAAGTTATCTGAGATTCGTTCACGAATAAGCCCATACACTCATGGTTTTTCAGGAATTCACATTGTGTCAAATGAATATAATAAAATATAAAACTAGAATATTATAATAAATCAAACGTATTATTGAAACATTTATTCTGCGTGAGTTAGGTGCACACTTGTATGTATCAACTACAGTAAAGTGTAACCTAACTCTGTTCTATAATTTTGAGAGCGTTGTTTAATTAAAGTTTTACGCCAATGTCTTAAAAATTCACGTTTTTATCACGTAAAACTATTCCTAATTATTGATGAAAGTTCGATATCAATTAAGATGTTTTATTCAAATACTCTCTACCAAACAGAAGGTAGTTGATGGAAGGCATTGGGAAACAATGTGGAAGAATTGCGGTCGCAAGTAAGATGCACAAATACCAAATG